GCCCTCCCTCCGGCCGCACCGGACCAGTCGCCCACCTCCGTCCCGTGGGGGCGTCACGCACTCCGGCCGCTGCCTGGATCCGCCCCCCTCAGCCACCTTCGCCGGGCCCTTCCACACTTAGGGCCACTATACCTTTCCCAGGGAAGCTGCCCCGACCCCGTCTGACTTCGGGCCCCCACCACGTGCTCCCCGGGATTCACGCGGCCACCGCTGGTATTACAGACACTCTGGGCTGCCATTTCGTTCACTCGTCTGTTTCTCCCGCAGTCTATGTCATAGCCATCTTTTTATTCTCCCAAGCTTGGGGTCCGTCACACAGCCGCCTCCTGAAGCGCTTGTTGAAAGCATTAATTTTAGAAGTAGAACCACAGGGCTTAATGAGCCCCTGGAGGAAAACAGCACAGGAGCCGTTGCTGAGCCTTCTATATCAGGGAGTAGCCCGATTTCGTGGTCTGGACAGGGCGGCGGGACCATCGGTGAGCTGGCGATGAGAAAAAAGTTGCTTCACTGCCTTGCTTCTCAGCTTACTGGGCCAATAGGCGTGCAAGGCAGGTGAGGTCGAAAGCAGAAAAACTACAATTCCCGTTATGCCCCGGGGCACCCCTCCGGGGTTCCCCTCTACATTACTTCCTCTTCCCCACGGAAGTGGAAGGGGCACTTCCGGTTCCGTCAATAACCCAGCGCCGGCGACGTTAGGTCAGCCGGGTAGGGCCTTGTTCCGAGGCTCCGCCCTCACTCCGGTCTTTCTAGAAGCCCAGCTTTGCTCCCGGCGGTGTCCGACAGGTATTACCCGGCCACTATGGGTGTCCCTGGGCGAGTCCGCTGCTCTGGTGCGGGGGAGAACTTTCCTCTTGGAGGGTCGGGGTTCCCGCGGGGCGCTCCGGGCTTGCGGCACTGGCAGGGAAGCCGGTTACCGGAGCCCTGGTCCCGGCGCTGACACTTGGTTTTTCTTTTTCCAGTTGCAGCGTCCCAGAGGCGCGCGCTCGCGCGTGTGTGTCCCCCATGGCGGATACGACCCCGAACGGCCCCCAAGGGGCGGGCGCGGTGGTAAGTGAGCGCGCCGGGTGGTCGGACTTGGTTTGCGAGAGTTAGGAAGGAGCAGGAAGTGTTGCTCGTCGGTCCGAGGTGCTCCCGAAGCCCTTTGCTTTCAGGACTGGGGATAGTGAACGGGGTGGCGCTGGGTGTGAGGGGAGAGGGGGTATCGTGATCGAAGATGTGGAGCCCCCTACAAGTTTCTTTCTCGGAAGCGACCTCAGGCCAGTTGCCGGGCCAGGCTGGAGCCGGTGGCCCGCACCAGCATGCCGTGGAAGCTGGGCCTTCTTGCCTCTGTCACTGTCCTCGGTCCCAAGGTTGAAGGTGCCATGTGAGATTGTGCCGTGACACGCCTCGTCCCGCACACTCTTGCTGGCAGAGAACGATTCTGCCTGTTTTATGCCATTATATAGGAGCTAAGCACAGGGAGGAGACCCATCTTTTTCTTTGTTTCTTCCTTTTGTCATTTACAAAGAAAAATATTATTACGCTTTTGTAAATTTCTTATCCCTAAGATGCAGATCTGGTGCTTGCTAGTTATTTGTACCCAAAGCATTATTGCCTCTGATTTTAAACACTATGACTATGTGAATTGAGTGACACTTTTTTCTTTTTAAACATTTTGCAGCATGTCTATTTGTATAGACAATTTTTTTCTTTATTTTGTGGAACTTTTTGAGAGTTAGTTGCATGCATCGTGATGGCTAACCCATAAATACTTCAGTATTATACACGACTACAATGCAGCTGTCACTGCAGTTTTTGCAGTTAAGTTTGGGAAATTTAACACTGATACATGTTATAACCTAACATTCAGTCCATATTCAGATTTCCTTAATTGTCCTTTAAAGCTGCTTCCTCCCCATCAAGGACTCAATAAAAAGGTGTCCATTGTCTGTATTGGCCTTAAGTCTTTTTTAGCCTAGAACTGTTCCCTTGTCCTCCTTTTCACATTTTTTATTTTCAAGCATACAGACCTGTTGTTCTGCACAATACTCCTCAAATTGGAGTTGTCTAATCCCCCCCCCCCCATTACTAGGTT